GTTCGGGCCCAAAGCCGAGGGTCTGGGCCGTGGCGGCGAGCTCCGGGCGCGGAGAGCGCGCTGGATCGCTCGGATTCCTGCCGCTTTCCCAGCCTCATTCCCAGAGGGAGCTGCTGCCCGGCCCCGGGGTGTCCCATAAGTCCCTCAAGGCCGAGGGGACCGATTTGGGGTCCCCTCTTGCTGCTGGAGGGCGGAATTCCAGCATGGAGCTCCCCCTCCGAAACACGCAGCCTTTTCCCTTCCCCATATTCCCGTTTTTCCTGGATGGAGCGGAATGGGGAAGGAGGCGGCGGGAGCACCCGCTGTGGAACAAGCAGCTCGTTGTCCGTCGGAACTGCGGCTCCGAGGCCGGGCCCTCGGCAAAGCCGGTGGCGGCTCCCGCAGCAGCCGCCGAATCCCTCTTTTCCGAGGGCTGCCAAAGGGAATTCCCTTGTGGAATTCCCCACCCACCCCAGCGTGCTGGGGATCAGCCTGGAGAGGTGGCCCAGGGCGCAGCCCTGTCTTCCTCCTATTCTTCCTTCTTCTCCTCCTCCTCCTCCTCCCCATCCTCCTTGTCCTCCTCATCCTCATCCTCCTCCTCCCCATCCTCCTCCTCCTCCTCCCCATCCTCCTTGTCCACCTCCTCCCTGTCGTCCTCTTCCCTGTCCTCCTCCTTCTTCTCCTCCTCTTCCTCCTCGTCCTCTTCCCTGTCCTCGTCCTTGTCCTCCTCCTTCTCATCCTTGTCCTCCTCTCCATCCTCCCCATCCTCCTCCTCCTCATCTTTCTCCTCCTCCTCTTCCTCCCCATCCTCCTTGTCCTCCTCCTCCCTGTCCTCCTCCTCTTCCTCCTTGTCCTCTTCCCTGTCCTCGTCCTCCTCCTCCTTCTCATCCTCCTCCCCGTCCTCCTCTCCATCCTCCCCATCCTCCTCCTCTTCGTCCCCCTTCTCCTCTCTGTCCTCCTCCTCCTCCCCGTGCTCCTCCGCGTCCTCATCCTCCCTGTCCTCCCTGTCCTCCTCTTCCCTGTCCTCGTCCTCCTCCTCCTTCTCATCCTTGTCCTCCTCTCCATCCTCCTCCTCATCATCTTTCTCCTCCTCCTCATCCTCCTCCTTCTCATCCTCCTCCTCCTCCCCATCCTCCTTGTCCACCTCCTCCCTGTCCTCCTCTTCCCTGTCCTCCTCCTCCTTCTCCTCCTCTTCGTCCTTGTCCTCTTCCCTGTCCTCCTCCTCCTCCTCCTCCCCGTCCTCCTCTCCGTCCTCCTCTCCATCCTCCTCCTCCTCCTCTCTGTCCTCCTCCTCATCTTTCTCCTCCTCGACCTCCTCCTCCCCCTCCTTCTCATCCTCCTCCTCCTCCTCTTTCCCATCCTCCTCCTCCTCCCCATCCTCCCCGTGCTCCTCCGCGTCCTCATCCTCCTCCTCCTCCCCGTCCTCCTCCTCCTCCCCGCGCTCACCGGGCCGCACGGACTGCACGAGGACGACGCGGTCGCCGCTCACGGTGAAGCCGAAGCCGTGCTGGTCCTTCTGGATGATGACGCAGCGCTGCACCAATCCTGCGGGAGAGGCCGGAGGCGCAGGGAGGCTCCCGCTCCCGCCGCCTTCCCAACCCAACCCCCGCCATGGGGGGATTCTGCCCCGGAGATTCCCGCCGGGAATCGCGCTCGGAGCATCCGGAGCGGCCGAGGAGGGGATGTGACCTCCAGATCCCAGTTGGCTGCCCGGGAGCCTCACATGGAGGCTCCTCCTGCCCGCCCGGATCCCCACTCGCCTTCCCGGCTTTCCCGGGAGGAAGCGGGAAGGGAATCCCTACCTGTGGTTTCGGCGGCATCCGAGGGCTGCCGGCGGTGCCCGGGAGACTTGTGCTCCGAGGAAGCGTCGCTCCCGGAGGAGAGGCTGCCCAACCTGCGGGGACGGAGCGCCGCTGACGGAGAGCTCCGCAGGGATACAGCTCCGCTGGGATACAGCTCCGCAGGGATGCCGCGGCCGCTGTGCGTGCCGGAATGACGCCGGAGGGAGAGGCGGGAGCGCACCGGGATGGGGCAGGAGGCTCCGGAGGCACCAAAAGAGAGGGAAAAGGAAGGGATTCCCGGCCCCGTGTACCTGGGCAGCTGGGGCTGCCGTTCGCTTCCCGGTCTGGAAGCAGGAGGGAGGATGGAGCCGGGAAGGGGAGCGGGAGGAGATGGAGGGATCAAGAGAGGGACGCGGAGCCCGCGCCGCAGCCTGTGTCCAAGAGGAAAATTCCCAACCCCTTCCTGCAACCACCATTCTAGGAGGGCCGGCAACACGGGGCGCGATTCCCACCGCTTCCGTGGGCGCCGCACGGATTCCCTGCAGCTTCCCGGTGCGCCAGCCCGGCTCCCACTGCTCCCCGAGCCCCTCCGGTGCCAATCCCGGCATTCCCGAGCTTCCTCCGAGAGCCAAACTACACCACGGGGCAGGCGGCATCCGCAGGGAAGCGCCAAGAGACGCTTTCCCGGGAAGGCGCCTCC